AAACAAAACTACATGATTATTATGGAATAAAAGATTTAATCTGGGAGTAAGACCTTGTACAATTGCAGATGAAGATGAAGAAGTAGGAGTTGGAAAGGAAAGGAAGAACTTGGACAGTCAGAGAAGGTCAATAATTTTGAAGCAGTGGCACAGGTGGGCAAATCAAAACATGACAGGGAACCTGGAAATCCAGGCCCATCCCATTTTTAGGGTAGAACTGTTGGAGCACAGAAAGAGAAATTCTTCAGTGTTATCAAGTAGAACTTTCTGTGGTGTTGGAAATGTTCCATTTCTGCATCATCCCTCAGTCACATTTAGCCACTGAACCCTTATAATATGGCTAATGTAACTAAGGAACTGAATTTTTATTTAATCTTAATTAATTTAAATAGCAGCATGTAACAGGTTGGGGAAATGTTAGTCAAAGAATACAAAATTTCAGGGCTAGGGTTGTGGCTCAGTGGTAGACCCGCCTAGCATGCCTGAGGCACTAGGTTCGATCCTCAGCACCATGTAAATGTAAAATGAAGATATTGTGTCCACCTAAAACTAAAAAATAAATATTAAAAAAAAATACAAAATTTCAGTTCGGAGGAATGAGTTAGGACATCTGCTGTACAACAGGGTGACTACAGTTAGCAACACTGTATTCTCCAAAACTGCTCAGAGTAGATTTTGTGTTTTCACCACCAAAAAAAAAAGAAAAGAAAGAAAGCCACAAAAAAGTATGTTAGCTCAATTTAGCCTTTCCAAAATGTATACATATTTCCAAAAAAAGTATGTGACAAATATATGTACATAATTATTAGTTGTCAATTTAAGATAAATAATAAGTTAAAAATAAATAACTAGGTGTGGTGGTGCATGCCTGTAATCCCAGTGGCTCTGGAGGCAGAGGCAAGAGGATCACAAGTTCAAAGCCAGCCTCAGCAACTTAGCAAGGCCCTAAGTAACTCAGTGAGACCCTGTCTCTAAATAAAATATGGAAAAGGGCTAGGGATGTGGCTCAGGGGTTAAGTGCCCCTGGGTCCAATCCTGGGTACCAAAAAATAAAATAAATAATAAATTAATAAATAGCAAATGTGGCTAGTGGCTACCATATTGAACAGGACATCTTTAGAAGTTTGCCTTTCAATGTGGCCCTGTTTTGCTGCTAATCAACAGAAGTAACAGTTGGAAAAAAAAAGAGATGGATACAGAAGAGAGGAGAACAGGCACAGCTGATATCTGCAGACACCTGTGCATCTGTCTCACTACTAAACACCCTTCAGGCTCTATTTCACTTTCACCTTCTAATCTCCCCTGAATTTCTCTTTTGGTTAACCCTGATTCAGGACAATACAGGGAAGGATATTGCAGGAAACATAATACCAATTTAGCAGATTTACCATGTTTAAAAACCATTAAACTGCAAGACTTGGTGGTACATGCCTATAATCCCATGATCCTGAGATAAGGGGATTGCAAGTTCAAGGCCAGCCAGGGCAAATTGGTGAGATCCTGTCTCAAAATAAGAACAACAACAACGAAGTAACACTGGGGTGTAGCTCAGTGGTAGGGTATTAGCACGTGTAAGGGCCCAGGTTGTATCCCCAATACCACACAAACACACAAAATAAATAAATACAAGAAACAATAAACTATTTTCTCATCTAATGGTAGATCATGAAGGTCTTAACATACCAGTACATAAAGAATTCTTCATGCTTTTTCACAGTTGCCATGTTGTACATTGTATGAACATCACCTTTCATTTAACTGTGTATTTCATAATTTACCAACAAATTTTTGTGTTGTTTTCATGTTTTGCTACAGTCTATAAACAGCATCAGATAACTTTGAATTTATGTGAGGAAGTATATGCATGCATACATGAGAAAATAAATCTGTTATCTCTAGAAGTCCTATGTCAAAGAGTATATTGATCAAAAGCTTAAATTTTAAAGAAAATGATTAAAGGTGCTGAAAGAATCAAAAGAGAAAAATTTTTTTACAATCTTGGAGTGAGAAAGAACTTTCTGATTATAACATATATATACACAGAGACCAAAGAAAAAAATTGACAGAAAAAAATAAATTTCATAGTAGAACTATGAAAGAATTAATTTTTAAACTAAGAAGTCTTCAGTGAATGATAGTCTAACAGAAACTTAGCTTTCCTTGTGACACAAATGCCAAAGCTGATTTCATATTTTACAGATCCTCAGCTAATGGTTGTTCCTAACTATCTGGGCATTTTTAACATACCATGCTTCATTAGGAAAAGGAGAAGAGAGAGTTTGTTTCATTGGGTTCCTTCTTCTCTCCCTCCTTTCTTCTCTTAGATTTCTAAGCAGATACAGTGTGATCATAGCACTAAAAGTTAAAATGGAAAGAAGGGGCAGAGAGTAGGAAAGACACTGCACACCAGATCTTTTCCCACCTGCTCCAGGTGCTCTGTGAATATCATTACTAGACCTTTTTAGATTTTTATTTCTTTCCCCTCTGTAGTGAGGAGATCAGTACAAAAGGTTTCTTAATCTTATCTTTCTAGGATTCACATTCCTCATTCTTATATCGTGGACATCAAGCTTACTCATGCTGTCCTCTGGAGGATAACATGGGAAAATATTTGTGAAAGGGTTTTGTTCACCATAGGTAATTTACACCTCCTTCAGGAAGTGTCTTTTTGACAGGGAACTAAGCAGTGGGAGAAATACAAATATCTGTATAGAAAGTATAGTAAAAGCAATGTAACTCAGCTCCAGGTCTGGGAATCAGGAAACACGGACTCCACCACTTCCCACCAACATTCTGGATAACTTCCTCTTCTAGTAACTTTGGAAAGTTCAAATCATATGTAAATGTAAACTGCAACTGTGGTATGAAGAAGACCCTGTTGACTTAGGTGACCTCTGCAACTCAGAGTATTCTTGCTTTTGTCTGTTCCTGTTAGTTCAACATACATTAATTGAAGCATGCAAGATGCTGTACTAAGTGCTTTATCCCATTTTACCACATCAGCTCTTCTCTAGTTGAATTTTCTACCCTTTTTCAGATTTTCTCATTAATTGAATTTATGTGATAAATGTCCTAAAGGACATCCCTGAAGAATATTTGAAATATTTGGTTAATTCTGACTGTGGCTTAGAAGAGGGCTGACCTTATGCTATGGCTAACAAAACATCACATTTAAAGCTAATAAGATTCTTAAACAAAAACTTTGTATTTGGCACTTTTTTAAAAAATATATTTGATAGTTTAGATTGAGTTTTTATTAGATATTCAAAACATAACTTTTAGATTTCTGAAAATCTACTACTCACAGTAGAGAATATTGAATCAAGGAATTTAATCCTTTGCTCTTTCAATTATTCTTATAACTTCATGCCCTTTAGATATGAGGCCCATACACCTGTCTCTGTCTTTTTCAACAGGAATGTATAAAAGTTAATGTGGCAAGAGGAAGAAGCCTGGGGGTTAAGATTATTAGGGTGAAATTATTTTCATTTTTACCTATGTATTTGCTAATTTGAAATACTGTATAATTTTCTCAGAAATTTCTAAAGGAAAAAATTAATTAAAATGGCAAGATTACAGATAAATTATAGATCAGCATTTGTATATTTGTGGAAAGGTACCCAGAACTGATCCCAGGGCCTTGTGCATGCTATGCATGCATTCTACCACTGAGTTGCATCCTCAGAACTTTTGTATTTTATTTTTCAGATAATCTCCATAAGTAGTTCAGGCTGGCCTCAAACTTGCAATCCTCTTGTTCAGCTTCCCAAGCAGCTGGGATTACAGGTGTGTGCACTGTCGCACTTGACTATAGATCAGCATTTTAATAAGCATGATCATCAGATTGATCCAAAATCTCTCTATTAATTTTTGCTGGGTATGGTGGCACATGCCTGTAATCCCAGAAACTCCGGAGACTGAGGCAGGAGAATCTCAAGGCGAGTTCAAAGCAACAGCGAAGCACTAAGCAACTCGGTGGGACCCTATCTCTAAATGAAATGATACAAAATAGGGCTGGGGATATGGCTCAGCGGTCAAGTGCCCCTGACTTCAGTCCCTGGTGCCCAAAACAAATAAACAAAAATCCCTATCTACTAGTTTTTAACATTTGTTTTAATTTTGCCTTATCTAATGAATTTTATTATTTGTGGTGCTGGGGATCAATCCAGGGCCTTACACTAGCACCCTACCACTGAGCTACATCTGCCAACCTGAAGATTATTATTATTGGCATTATTTTTCTTAATATTGTCCTTAACTGTAGCCACATTTGTAGTATCTAGGCTTCTAAGAATAATGGTGAGGGGAAGGGAGGGGACATGGGATTAGAAATGATGGTGGAATGTGATGGTCATTATTATCCAAAGTACATGTGTGAAGACACGAATCAATGTCAATATACTTTGTATACAACCTGAGATATGAAAAATTGTGCTCTAGGAATTTAATTGTATAATAAGTATGTCTGTATATATAATATGTATAATAAGAATTGTAATGCATTGCACTGTTGTAAATTTTAAAAAAAGAATAATGGTAAATAGCACTTTCAAAACATTTGAGTTACCTAAATATGAATTTACTTTCTAGATTTGGGACAATTCATTGTTTAAAAATAACTGTTACTTTCCTTCAGTTTAACTGAAGGTAGGACATCTATAATGGATGAATCTTCCTTGTAATCTTGTCATGTTTTTAATTTTTTTAGTTGTAGATGGACACATACCTTTATTTGATTTATTTACTTCTATGTGGTGCTGAGAATCCAACCCCAGTGCCTCACACATGCTAGGCAGGCGCTCTACCACTGAGCCCCAACCCCAGCCCCCTTGTCATTTCTAAGGCATACTTTTTTTTTTTTTTTTTTTAGAGAGAGAATTTTAATATGTATTTTTTAGTTTTCGGCGGACACAACATCTTTGTTTGTATGGGTGCTGAGGATCGAACCCGGGCCGCCTAAGGCGTACATTTTTAAAGGAAACTTAACCCCTTTCTTTCAGACCTCTTAAGCCATGAAAACGCAGCAACGCTGAATGACGTGAAGACGCTGGTCCAGCAGCTCTACACCACGCTGTGCATTGAGCAGCACCAGCTAAACAAGGAGAGGGAGCTTATCGAGAGATTAGAAAACCTCAAAGAGCAGCTGGCTCCCCTGGAAAAGGTGACCATGGAAATATCAGACTTTTCACCTACAAATACGCACATGTGTTTGTTTTTTCTTCTGAGTTTCCTGTAATTGAGTCATTATCTGTCAAATTAGCCCATTAGTTTATAAGGCTGAACCTTAAAAGTTCATATCAAATCTAAGAAAGGAATGGGAATAGTTTGGAACCTCGATAATGGACTTAGAGCTCTAAGGTCTCAGTGCACTGCCTTTAATCAGACTTACCATCTTTGAAACAAGGATTTCAATAATTTCTTAGTATAGTGGATAATGATTTTAGCCAAATTACGAATGAATATTGTAAGGAATATTATACAGCTCTTAAAATGATTATGTAAATCTAATTTGCTACAGAAAATATTAATGATAAACATGAATGATACGCTATGGAAAGTAAATTCTAAATTAATGTTTATACTCTGATCTAATTTTTAAATGTGTTATGCATATAGCTATACACAGTATATATATCCATATTCACAATCAGAAGGAATGCTAATAGAATAGTAGGAATATGACTGATTTTTCTTAATACTTTTTAGACTGTTTTACAAGTTACCCTTAATTTTTTATGATGATGTAAGTACAGTCATGGTTTATTTAATGATAGGAATAAATGTGTCTCTAGGTGATTTCATTGTGAGACCTTGTTAGAGTGTCCTTACACAGACTTGGATGGTCTAGTCACTCACTCAACATGGCCTCTTCATGCAGAATGAGCATGAGATGTGTGAGGCTGCTGCTGATGTAACTGTAGAATTCTTTATAAGTAGGAGGAATGGCTTTAAAATAATGATTATAAAAAATATAATCTAGTAAATACATAAACCTACTGGTAACAGTGAATTATTATCATCAGGTGTACACGATACATGATTGTATTGCTATACTTCGTACAACTAACAGGGCAGTAGGCTTGTTTACACCAGCATCACACACACATCTAAGTAACGCACTGTGCTGTGGCGTTACAGCAGTGATGCTGTCACAGAGGATGGGAATTGTTCAGCTCCATTATTTCCTTGTGGGACCACCATCATGCATGTGGCCCATCCCTGAAATGTTGTATGGCCTGTGACTATTTTCATTGATAAGGAAGAGAATAAACGCTTATAATATTGTGCTTTTTCTAATTTCTTACAAATGTTTAGCATATGCCATGAATTGTACTAATTACTGGCATTCCCTTATTTAATCCTCAGAATGACTCTATAATAAAGTTAGTGGTGTTTTGCAGATCAGTGCCCTGAACCTACCCACTTGAATCCAGACTCCATGTTCTGATGTACCCTACTTTTCTGCCCCTAGTATAGCACTTGAGTTAAAACTGATAAGAGGTTAAATCTTATACACAAGAGTGAGAGACCATTTGGTATGTTTTCATTTTACTCTTTCAAAGAAGATAATCCTGTAGCTGGATGAAGAGCAATTGAAGCTCACCCCTATATTTTCACTTATTTCTAGGATGAAATTTAAATAAAATACAAAATCTTAGTTGTCCCTGTGAGATATTTTATTCAGTGAAAACTATAGTTGCGATTTTACTAGAATTGAGTCTAACTTGTGTCTTGATTATAAGCCTTTTTTCTTTAGCAGGCATAGAATAGTTTATAAAAGACTTTTAAATTGGTTCCATGTCAGATGACTTACAACTGAGCATGTTTACCAACAGGTACGAATCGAAATTAGCAGAAAAGCTGAGAAGAGGACCACTTTGGTGCTATGGGGTGGCCTTGCCTACATGGCTACACAGTTTGGCATTTTGGCCCGGCTCACCTGGTGGGAATATTCCTGGGACATCATGGAGCCAGTCACCTACTTTATCACTTATGGAAGTGCCATGGCAATGTATGCATATTTTGTAATGACACGCCAGGTAAGACTCCTCTTCAGATAACTTTCTTATGAGACAGTAATAAAGTCTTGATTGTGTCAGTAGCTCTCTTTTCTCTCACATTTTTTTCCATGACTAGTTCTCTTTAAATACTCATTTATCATGTATGCACACACATATGTGCATGTGTGTCACTTATGTATCAGGCACTACTGTTGTCGGTGTTAAAGCTAGAGAGGTAGGTATGTGGCATGGCCGTAGCCCCTCATGCAGCTCACAGGTCATTAAGATAGCCGTATATACCACTGCATTCAGAAAAATAGACTCTAATAAGAATGGAATAGGGGAGCAAAGTAGAAGAGTGGCCAGTGTGGATAACTTGTTCACTGTGTTGGGCTTGATTTTTTTTAATGTGTCCTATAATTAATTGAACAGTTGGATGTCACACACTTTTATTGAGCTCTTGGAATGGAGAACTGATGATGAATAATCAAATACTTGAACTAAACCCTGAACTACTTCTATGTATATTAAAGGGTAAATGTTTTCTTGTTCTTTTTACTTCATGGTATGGAGGTGAAAATTAGATACTTAATCACTGCACACTCTTATTCTGCTCTTCATCAGCCAAGGCTCGTTTATTGAATATAGGAATCTAATCCAAACCAAATTTTCATTGTCAATGTTAGTTTAAGTATCTTAGAAAATTCATAGTGTCACTTTGGAAAATATGAGAGATAAATCATCTTTTTTTATTTTATTTTATTTTTTGTGCCTGAGGCTGGAACTCAGGACCTCCCATGTGCTTTGCCACTGAGCTATATCCCCAGCTCCTGTTGACTCTTATAACGGTATCTGTGATGCCATCACAAATCCAACCTGGCCTTCCCTTGAATGACAAGCATTTAAGATAACTCAGGCACGTGAGAAGTGTCTTCCTTTCCTTATGTGCCGGGAGAAAGCTGAGGGGTGCTTCTCACATTTTTCAAAGCTGCTAGTGAACATTGGCATTTTGGTTTTGTGGTTAGATCAGTGGTCATGAGCCTGTTTATGTGGCGGAAAAGGAAAGCATGAGAATGTTATTTAACCTTTCTGGGCCTCTCAACTTGTCTAGTGAAGACAAAAGAAAGTAAACTGTTCATATGCCTCTAATGTTGGCCCAGAGCCTGACACATCTAGTCCCTTCTCTGGTTCATATTGTCACTGGATGAGCAAAAGTGAACAGCTGCATCATTCCTACCTAATCACAGTCTAGACAGGCTCCTGTCTGTCTCCACTCTCTCCTCTTCAATCTGGGGATTCATGGCTGGTTGCTGTCTGTCCTTTTCAATGACTCTAAATTCCTCTGTGTCTGTTCTGTGTGTTCTAAACAACCAAATCATGGTCTCTGATCCCCCAAGACGTCCTGAGTTACCTGCAGCTTCATTTCCACTTCACACCATTCTTTCAACTAGAAAGTTCCCCTGTTGATTCCTTCCTGCCGTATTCCAGGGTTCACTTAAATGCTTATCTTTCGTGGACTTTTGACTCTTCTCTCCAGTTGACTTCTGTCGGTCCTTCTGAATCCCCGTGTAACACCATGCCTCCCATTTCACCCATCTCCTGCCTTCTTGAGCAACATCTTTTCCCTCATACTGGATTATGCTGTCTTTTGAGGCTGGGCATTTGGTTTTATTCAATTTTTATTTCCTCACCACATAACATGGCACCTTACACCTAGAATACTCTGAGTGAATTGAACATATAAAATAAACGACAAACTAGAGCTTTTCCAGTTATCCCTTGAATGTAGAGAGCACCTTTGATATATCTCTTGCTAATCAAGAACAAAATGGTATTTCCTTGTAGACTTTGCATTTCCTTGATTACTGAGAAAAGATTAAGCATTCTTCACACTCCTGTGAAAGGCTCATGCCTTTTACTTGGTCTTACTGTGAACTACCTTTTCTTGAGGTTAATTATGTGTCAGGCATTTTATATCAGTACATAAATATGTACATAAACATTTCGTCTCAACTTTATAAGTTTGTACCCCCATTTTAAAGATGAGGAATTGAGACTCAGTGAAGATAAATAATCTTTCCAAATAGTATGTGTAGTTGAACATGAAATAAATGACAGCCACAGGACCAGGAACTGAACTCAGATATGTCTTGCCCCACAGGCTATTCTTTCCACTCAATTATCATGCTACCTTCTGTTAACTTTATTTATGAGTGGTTACCTCTGAAAACCATAATTAATCTGAATCTAGAAATCAAATAGAAACATGTTGGAGAAATAATTACTGCTGATTAAAAGCTGTTTTGTAAATGTTTTCTTGAACTAAAGATTAATGCAAAGTATTGGACTTGAACACATGTCAGCACTTTTTTTCTTCTCATTATCATGTGGTAGGATCTTTATTCAATACCTTATCTTTCCTATTAAATGTTCCACTTCTGATTCCCAAAACATTGTTGCTGCCCCCAAGTGACAAGTTGCAATATAGCAGTAGTAAACAAGTTAGCCACTTACTCAGTTATGAACCAGGAATCACTGACCAAATAAAATGTAAACATTTGTTTCTTATGTTAGATATTCTTTTACCTAACTGCTATTGTAATTAACACCATGAAGCACAGGGCCTGTTCAGTAACATTAAACTTCTATACTGTTACACTGACGTGCTTCATTTGTTAGCAACCTAAATATATCCCAATAGTATATTAAGCTACAAAAAATATATGATGGCAAGTTCCTTGAAATAATGAAACGCAGTGGAATATGGAGCACCTGAGTACCAGGTGGAAAAGGAGACTGACAATAAGAATCGACAATCAGCATGCAGGCTGCCCACCCGTCCCACATACCAGCCTGGTCATTTGCAACAGAGGGGATGTTGCCTCTAGGGGGTGAATAGTGGTTCTTGAGGAGTAAAAACATCTCAGGTGTTACAGTACATAATAAGATATACACTATAATTTTAGTGTTAAATATTCTTTGGGGAATGGAACAAGCAGGGGGAAAAATGTCTAGAAAAAGAGTCTGGGGGTGGGCAGTAATGAAAGACAATGTTAAGAAACAATAGGCTGCCATTTAATATCCTTCTTCTTTTCAGTTTCTTCAACCATCATTTGTATTCTGCTCCAGTAAACCACCTCCATGGCCATCCAGAACCTTCTTTCCTGGACTGTATCACTTATGATATAACCAACATACAACTTTGTGATCACAATTTCTTTTCTTTCTGGCCCTTTTATTCCCTCACTCACTCCTTTGACCTCATCCAGACTTTTAGGCTACTGACATCTTTATCTCAACTTTTTACCACAACATACCCTTCCCTTTCTTCTTTGGACCTATTGCCAGTCTCTTTGTACCCTAGAATCCCTGTCCTTTGCCTTCCTGCTGTAAGTACTCCATAGACTCCTAACTTGGGGTGCATCAGGCCCTTTATCCTGTACCCAAGCTACTAAACATTGCTAGAGAAAAATCATATCATAGTGTAGAATGGGCCACTGCTTGTGTTTATTTTGTGTGTGTGTGTTCCCTGTTTTCAACCTCTCCCATTCTGACTCTCATAACTAAGCTGTGTCTTTTTGCACAGAGTCAGATAGTGAAATTTCTAGAATAGATTCTAACATGTAATTGCTCAGTTAATGCCTGATGCCCAAAAGAGAGAGCATAGAATATATTTGAATAAATTTAGCTTATATTTCTATTTACATCCTAAACAAAGACAGGTAAACAACCTAGTAACAGCAATTTAGGTGACAGTAGAGGGCTTTGCCTCAAGTGCTTAATCCAACAGTTATTCCTCAGTCAGTGTTAGTGATTCGGACCTCAATTTTATCCATTTTTAAAAGGCTTCCACGGACTGTTTTTCTACTCTTCAGTCTAAATTTATCCTCATCGATAACTAAATATTGGGCTGGGGTTGTGGCTCAATGGTAGAGCACTCACCTGGCATGTGCAAGACCCTGTGTTCGATCCTCAGCACCACATAAAAAATAAAATAAACAAATGAAATAAAGGTGTTGTGTCCAACTACAACTAAAAAATAAATTTAAAATATAACTAAATATTTGCTGCTTCATATGAGGTAACCACACAATCCCATCAGGATAAGTTATGTTAGACAAAACATAATCCACGTCTGCCTGAAAATAATAGAGACTAACAAAATGACAAAAACAAGCAGCAAGGATTAGAAGAAGAGGAGTCCCAAGCAGGCGGGCATGGTGTTCAGGTGGGCCTTTCCCTCTGGGGATTTGATTAGATTGAGGAGAATGTTATGGAGAGACAGGGACCTGAGTCATACTTGATAACTGTGTTGGTCAGCTTTCTTTTGCTGTAGCCAAAATACTCGACAAGAACAACTTAGAGGAGGAAGGGTTTATTTTGACTCCCAGTTTCAGGGGTTCAGTCCATGGTAGCTGACTTTATTGCTCTGGACCTGAGGTGGAGGGGAGCATCATGGCAGAAGGGCATGGAGGAGAAAGGCAGCTCAGCTGGTGGCAGCTGGGAAGCAGAGAAGAGGAGGAGCCAGGGGACAAGATATGATCTCAAGGCCATGTCCTCAGGAACTACCTCCTCCACCCACGCCCCACTGCCTACAATTACCACCCGGTCAGTTTATTTGAATTATTAATCCATAATGGATTAATCTACTGATTAGGACATAGCTCTCAAACTAATCATTTCACCTCTGAGCATTCCTGCATGAACACAGGAGTTTGGAGAGAGGGGCACCTCATATCCAGACCATAATAATAACCTAGAGGGACCAAAGCCACAGAGCCTAGTGTCCAGGGCTCTCTTAACATAGGTCAAACACTCTTTCTTTGGTTTGGAACCTCTGCAGGCCCCACTGCAGAAGGATAAGCCTGTTAGAGGCCCTTTTAGAAACCATGCTGCCCCTTTAATTCACTTCAGTCCTATAAATTAGGTTGGGGTAGTTGCAGAATACTGGTAACCCCACAGGGCTAGTGCTCACAGGCCCCAGGCAGAAGAAGCATAAACATCCCTGAGAGGAGATTACATTATCCTAAAGTTTAAGTTATTTTACTAATGACTTTGTAAATGCAAAGTTACACAGTAAAAAAGCACAAGGAAATTTCTACAGAAACAATAAACATTAGAATCAGACACAGATGAGGGATTAGATATTGGCATTTTCAGATATAGTAAAAGAATTATACTTACTACATTTAGGGAGCTGAAAGTCAAGGTTGAGCATGTTGGCAAATAACTCAATTTTATTTTTAAAGAAACAAATGAAAATTCTAGAAATGAAATATAATAGATGGATTTAATAACAGATTAGACCTAACTAAAGACAAAAAATAGAGACCTGGAGTAAGCCAGAAACTATTCATATATGTATAGGAAAGTATTCAAAATGATGTATGAGAAGACAAAAAGATGTAAAATACAGAAAAGGCATAGGATATAGTGAAAAGTTCTAATGTAGATTTAATTTTATTGGAGTCTTAAAGAAGAAGAGAGAAAATGAGAAAAAACATTTTAAGAGCTAATGGCTTAAAATTTTCCAAAATGCTGAAGTACATCAGTTTACAGATTTAAGAATCCAGATAAACACCAACCAACATAAAGAAAAACAAATCCACATCTGGACACATCAATAGCAAAACTTCAAATACCAAAGCCAAAGGGGAAATCTTCAAAGCAGCTGAAGGATAACAGAAAAGCTTGTTTTCAAAGGGCTGCGCCGACTGCCTAGCAGCACTGAGCCCCAAGATGGCGCAGAGGCGGCTTCAATGTGTTGGGAGCAGATGACTAGGAGAATTCTGTGCTCAGCAAAATACGTCCTTTCAGAACAGGGGTGAAATAAAAGTATTTTCAGACAGAATCTGATACCATCAGATCTGCACTAAAAGAAACACTAAAGGGTGTTGGAAGCAAATGTTCTTCAAGCAGGAGGATCTCACAGATGAAAAATGAGAGAAACAGGAAGGCAATAAGAATGGCAGGTCTGGGAGTGGATCGAAGGGAATATTTTTTTTTTTTTAGTTGGACACAATATCTTTTTTTTTTAATATTTATTTTTCAGTTTTAGGCGGACACAACATCTTTGTATGTGGTGCTAAGGATCGAACCCAGGCTGTACACATGCCAGGCGAGCGTGCTACCGCTTGAGCCACATCCCCAGCCCCACAATACCTTTATTTTATTTATTTATTTTTATGTGGTGCTGACAATCGAATCCAGGGTCTCACACATGCCAGGCAAGCACTCTACTGCTGAGCCACAACCCCAACCCATGAATATTAAATGTATAAAACAATTACAACTGTGGAATTTAAAGTACAGAGAGAATGAAGATATTCAATGGAGCAAAGGAGTCCAGAAGTGTTCTTAGAAGCATATTCATGCATACTAACTCAAACTGAGAAACAACCCAATAGTCTATCAATAGCAGAATAGATAATAAACAGTAATGTGCTCATGTAATATAATATAGCATGGCAATGGAAATGAATACATCATATCTACAAAAGAGGAATCTCAGCCTGGTGCAGTGGCATAAGACTGTAGTCCCAGTTACTGCGGAGGCTGAGGCAGGAAGACACTTGAGCCCAGGAGTTCAAGGTCAGCCTATGCAACGTAGCAAGAACTTGCCTCAAAACACACAAAAAAAGGGAAAATATTTAAGAATCAATACAGAACATTTCAGTGTCTTTATATGAGTGTTTGTATTGAATCTAATCAACAGTAAATACTTACTTTGTGAAGATAGTATGCTAAGGACTAATAATTTAATTTCTCCTTTATTTTTGTAGGAATATGTTTATCCAGAAGCCAGAGACAGACAGTACTTACTATTTTTCCATAAAGGAGCCAAAAAGTCACGTTTTGACCTAGAGAAATATAATCAACTCAAGGATGCAATTGCTCAGGTAAGTTTTGAAAAAATTAAAATAAATCCCAACCCCGTCTTCTATGACCTTATTATTATCCATAACCACAGTACTTCACCTGGGTAAACTGAAAGAGTGATCCAACCAACTTCTTCCTGTATAAATTACTCCTCAGTTAATAAAAATGACTATTTTAGCAACAAGCACCTCTGTAGGTTTTACAACATAAATTGCTGAAAAGATGGTGCTGCCTACCCTGCTAACACTTACACACGGAAAGTTAGGCTTTCCTACCTTTTAAAAAGTTTGTTTCTTTCTTTTTTTCCAGGGCTGAGGACCAGTCTCAGGGCCTTGAGCGTGCTAGGCATATGCTCTGCCCCTGAGCTAAATCCCCAACCCCAAGTTTGTTTCTTTTGAATGATTTTTCAACTAGAACTCTCTACTTTTCTCTCTTCTTTTTAATATTTCTACAATAATTGACACAAAGACTACAATGTGTGATAATAATGGGGCAAACATAAAATCCAGATAAGAAGAACTGTCAGGCACAGGTCAGAAGTTATTAAACTAGAACTTGCTTTTTAAAAAAAATGATGTATTTTATTTTTCACAGAAGCTACCTCTTGAAACTTCTGGGTGCACCTCCTTCAATCTGATGTCTTTGATTTGGGTGAATAAATTCTCACTCCTAATCCTCGTTCCTTTTCCCTGGAATGTTTTGTGGCCTTCGCAGTTTTTCATCAGTCCTTAGAAGGCCTTCCATCCTCTTCAATGCTTTTGTTACACTCCTCTGGACCTCCTCTGCCTTTTTTTTTTTTTTTTTTTTTGGTGGGGGTCCTTTATGGTGATGAGAGATGCTTTGAATAGACTTATTCCATCTTTCTGCTTCAACCTTACTGCACTGTATTCTGTTGCTGCTCTGATGGTTCTCAACTGGAAGGGATGCTGATCACATCCCTAGAGCTATTACAAATACAGATGCTTCAGTGCCACCCCATGTTTATTAATCCAACTTGAGGATGAGGTTTAAGAATGGGGGAGGTTTTGAAAGTGCTGCAGTTGATTGCATTTCTTTGTTTTAAAATTAACTAAGTTAAAAATTTAAACTGATATTAGCGATATAGAGTCTCTGGATAAATAAAAAATCTTGGAATTCACAAAAGACTACAGAAAAATGGAATGAAGATGTATTCATCAAAATCAAGTAGCCCAACCAAGTTAAAGTTTTAGATCCTTGCAAAGTTTGTGGGTGGGCTTATCACTGGACAATCATCATCAAACATGTATATTTTGATGTTCCCCAGAGCATCTGAGTCCTACCCTTTTAGTAGCACTGACTTTTCTGGAGGCTTTGTGGACAGCTGAGACTGCAAACTTGTTTTGGATTCTTTGTTGTCTTCTGATTTTCAGAGTAATTGGGATGATGTCTTTGACTCATAGTAATGGAGGAAAGAGTCTCCTTTTCTCAGTAGGCAGTAATGTCACTGAAAGTTTCACTAGTCAGTTTTACTTACCTTTTGTTTCTATTTTAGGCAGAAATGGATCTTAAGAGACTGAGAGACCCATTGCAAGTGCATCTCCCCCTCCGACAAATTGGTGAAAAAGATTGATCTGCAAAGAGCCTGTGAATCCCGGCAGAAAGAACACCTGTTTATAACTCTTGCCTTTTTAATTAAAGCATTGCAGGTGGAAGCTGGGAGCCATGTGGGGGTAGAGGGTTTTTACCTTTAATTATAAAACAAAAAGGATCTTAGAGAAAAAAAGAATGTTAAAATCTGAGGATCAGGCATCATGGAAAATAAGCTCAAAGGGCTTAGTGAATATTGTCTTAATCAAGCATCTTAATTTCTGAATGAAAATGATGCATTTATATAGTTGAGAGATTCACAAAGAGAAAACAATGCTGGGGGTGTTGGTTTCTTGCATCTTCTTCGCAGGGTCAGCAAAACAGTAACACACCAGCACCCCACCGAGCTCTATTTTTTTTTTAATTTAACATTTCTTATTTTTGACATAAATAAATATACCTGAAAAGCAAATCCTCATGATATGTGGGTGGCAACAGAGTCTGAGCCCATATCATTAGCATTTATTTTAAATTGAACCCAGTCTCTGCAAAGTTACTAGGAATCTCTTCCTCTAGTCCCCCTTTCTGACCAACTACCTGTTGGTTACACTAATTTTATCCAAATGATGATTGGAACTGACTATGACTGATAATTGATACTTTGGATTTCCCTTAATACCTTCTTAAATGTCTATATATCCCAGTGCTCTGGATCAGTATCTAGAAATCATTGGCAATACTACATGAAGTTTCTCTGTTTTGTTTTTCACAATTAGTCTTTCAGAGGAGGAAAAATTTCCCTCTAAATACCTATCCCTCTCCCTCCACAACTCAGATCAGAGGAGGGTGTTCAGCTGTATTACCAAATCAGGAAGATGTAAGGTTTACAAATTGACTAAAAATCATGGCTCTTTAGCTATTTCAGAACCAGAATGATCTCACTGCTGTTATTCTGCTTGTATGACAGTTACGAGCCGCCCAGATGGCACTGCTGTGTCTGGGGGCTTTATTAATCTTAAAAGACACACTTCCACACTGTTTGTGAGCTCTCCCACCTCCACCACCCAGTTGTTATAAATCAAGTGTGTGGATCTCAAAGGGTGCAATTTATCTTTATACAGGAATACATTTCTATGGCTTCCTTCAGCCTCCCCTCTCCACCCTATTTTTTCTTATATTCAAATGAGAGAAAGAAAAATTGATCTTATACTCTATCAAAATGTTTTCTACCGCATTTCCAGATGACATCTGCACGTGAAGAGTAAAGGAATCTGTGTGTGATATCATGTTTTTAATGACTGTGAGGGCAGGATGGCCAGGAGGATGGGGGCTCGCTACACATCTGATTGTCTTTCTTTCACATGACTCATCCCTCCTCATGTGACAAGAAGTTTCTTTTTCTTCCTCCTTTGGGATCATTGTATATGAAGAGAAAACCTTTAAATGACAAATCCAGACTCCAGGTGCCTTGCAGAGGTCAAAGGCCAGACTGCTGCTCCCGCCACCACCCTTCACTGGCATGATGGAATGAAAGGATGCATGCCCGCCCCCAGCCCGCCTCCAACTTCCTTCCCTGTCCTTCAGCCCCTCCCTCATTTATTTTTGTTGTTGGATTATTTTTAAACCATTTATCATGTTTGTGTCAGGGTTTTTAAGAAGAAACAGCACAGTGCAATGAGCAAATCCTTTTGGGGTGTGTGGGAGGCAAGGGAGGGAGGACTCGGAGAAAAGTCCTTTAAACAAATAGCAAAATATTGAACATGTGTAAAATCCTGTATCATTTATGAAATATGTATAAAAAGCAATGTACCTTCTGGAACAATAAATACTTATTCAATTTTTGAACGATAGTATCTCATTCTGTAAAACAAAACCAGAAACTTATTTTCCTGTGATTCCAGGTGGAAAGCCTTTTACTTCTAAAATTAGTTTTATAAAAAATTCCATTACTAAATTAAGCTTTCTTCTTAGACCCTTTATTTCAAAAACAGACATTTCACTGACTCTTTCTTTACTTAAGATGGTCATTTTCTTTCCAGAGCTACCAATAAATCAAGTGATTTTTATAATCACTAACAAAGTGAACAGGACATGAGGATGCAGCTCAGGGTAGAGTGCACGCCCAGCATGCACAAGGCCCTGGGTTCCATCCCTGGCGCCATGAATAAATAAAGCCCACAAAAGTGTTGAGGCTGTTCTCCTTGGCCTCCTCATCTATAGGAAAAATCTCCATTCTATCAGAACACCTTGATTGCCCTAGAATCCAGAAAGTTATTCAACAATAAATGAAGATTAAATATTTTTAGAGATTGTAACAAGAAGTTTACCACAATAACCAGTCAGGATATTACATGCTGCCAAAGCCATGGAAGGTCTATCTAAAAAGCATGTAATAAGTGATTGCTTTAGTGCAGCATGTGGAAGGACTGGAAGAGCCTGCATAGCTGTGGTCCTTCCCCCAGGAGCTTATAGCAACCTAACACAGACAACCCTGAAACTGATATGAGGTGCAAAGGGATAAGATTGAAAATGTTAAGCTATTGTTTTTATTCAACAAATAATATGTATATATACTTTACACATTCTGTTAAACTTTACAGGGGATTTTTTTTTTTTTTTTGGAACAAAGACAAATGATTCCTGCCTCTAAGGAGCATAAAGTGTATTTTAAGACAGTGAGCAATAAAAAACAAAACTGAAAAGTGGGCAAAAGACTTTGAATAGACATTTCTCCAAAGAAGACCTACAGGTGGGTTTCTGGAAGACAGTATGATGGTTCTTCAAAAAGTAAAACAATTACATGATTCAGCAATGCCTTTTCTGAGTATATGCCAAAAAAGATTTGAAACCAGGGATTCAGTCAGATATCAGTACCTAACAACATTATTCACCGCATCCCAGAAGGAGCAACCAAAGTGTCCATCAGCAGATGAAGGGATAAACTAATTGTGGCATGTGCATGCAATGAGTTATTTAGCCATAAAAGAATGAAATTCTTGCCAGGCATGGTGGTGCTCGCCTGTAATCCCAATAACTGAGGAGGCTGAGACAAGAGGATCACAAGTTCAAAGCCAGCCTCAGCAACTTGGTGAGACCCTGTTTCAAATATAAATAGGGCTGGGGATGTGGCTCAGTTGTTATTGAATCCAGACTCTGGATTCAATTCCTGGTGCCAAAATAAATAAGAATAAAATGAAATTCTTATGCTATAAACATGGATGAACCTTGGAAAAATTACACTAAATGAAATAAGTCACAAAAGGACAAATACTTTATAATTCCACTTTAAATGAAGTATTTAGAGTCATCAGATTGATAAATACAAATGGTGGTTGCTAGAGTCAGGAGAGAGAGGAGTGTTATCAGGAAAGGGGTATGGAGTTTGGTTTGGGGAAGATGAAAAAGTTCTGGAGATGATGATAGTGATGGTTGTGCACAATGTGATTGTACTTAACACCACTAAACCGAACACTTAAGAATTACCCATAGGGCTGGGGATGTGGCTCAAGCGGTAGCGCGCTCGCCTGGCATGCGTGCGGCCCGGGTTCGATCCTCAGCACCACATACAAACAAAGATGTTGTGTCCGCCGAGAACTAAAAAAAAATAAATAAATATTAAAATTCTCTTTCTCTCTCTCTCTCTCTCTCCTCTCTCATTCTCTCTTAAAAAAAAAAAAAAAAAAAAAAAGAATTACCCATAGCAGCACAATTCACAATAGCTAGACTGTGGAACCAACCTAGATACCCTTCAATAGTTGAATGGATAAAAAAAAAATGTGGCATTTATACACAATGGAGTATTACTCAGCACTAAAAAAAATGACAAAATCATGGCATTTGCAGGGAAATGGATGGCATTAGAGCAGATTATGCTAAGTGAAGCTAGCCAATCCCTAAAAAACAAATGCCAAATGTCTTCTTTGATTTAAGGAGGGCAACTAAGAACAGAGCAGAGAGGAAGACCATGAGAAGAAGATTACCATTAAACAGGGACGAGAGGTGGGAGGGAAAGGGAGAAGGGAAATTGCATGGAAATGGAAGGAGACCCTCATTGTTATACAAAATTACATATAAGAGGAAGTAAGGGGAAAGGGAAAAAAAACGAGAGAAAAGAACTACAGTAGATGGGGTAGAGAGAGAAGATGGGAGGGGAGGGGAGGGGAGGGGGGATAGTAGAGGATAGGAAAGGCAACAGAATACAACAGACACTAGTATGGCAGTATGTGTAAATGTGGATGTGTAACTGATGTGATTCTGCAGTCGGTATACGAGGTAAAAATGGGAGTTCATAACTCACTTGAATCAAATGTATGAAATATGATATGTCAAGAACTGTGTAATGTTTTGAACAACTAATAATAAAAAAAATAAAAAAGAATGGTTACCATAGTGAATTGTATATTTTCCACAATAAAAAAAAAGTGAGTGAATTTTCACTGGAGATAGATTGTGGTGTTAAATCTACTACTAAATGTGGTAATGTAATTTTGACGACAGAGTGTCACTTTTTTAAAAAAATATTTTACTTTTTAGTTGTTGTTGGACGCAATACCTTTATTTTATTTATTTTTATGTGGTGCAGAGCACCAGGGTCCCACACATGCTAGGCGAGTACCCTACCGCTGAGCCACAACCCCATCCCCAGAGTGTCGACTTTTACAGCTGGAAAAAGTAGAAAGGTTCTGAGTGTGAAATCCAGAGCAGCTGCAAGGCGTCTCCTGGGAACTGCTGGAAATGCAAGGTCTTGGGTCCCTATTGAGTCAATCTAGAAATAAGGTCAGCAATCTGTGTTTAACAGGCCCTGATAGTGATTTAATGAGAACTATTGATCTAGACAAACCATTGCTTTAAAGAGAAGGAAACGGAGGCACAGAGGGGATACCTGTCACAACTCATCTGTCAATCCTGAAATCAAATATCAGACTGGCTGGAGGACTAGTGAGTGTGGTGTCTATAGTAAATAGAAGAGACCTAACCTGGGCTCCTGACTCATGCTAATGAGGTTTCCTGCTTGTCAGGGTGTGGTGGTAATCACATAGATGCTTTCAAAACCAAATAGGTTGAATTTTTTTTATCTGTCTGGGAGAATTTCACAGAAAATAGAAACTTCTTAGATTTTGGAATTCCGTTGCACAAAAATTAAGTGTGATTCATTTTTATCACGGCCAACAACTTTTTTAGCTCTTTGCAAATGGGTTTCCAACCCTCTGAGTTCAAACTTCTTGTCTTCGTGTAATACACTTCGTAGTTATTTCCTTAGGATAAATGTGTGGGTTAATTTAAGGAATGCTGTTGAATATAAAGTTACCCCTCACAAATTTTCATTTGCAGATGTTTTGGAAATGCACCCCACACTGAGCAACACTTCCTCTGAAATGCCTCCGCTCCCGTGACTCCATTCTTGGGCTTCCTCCCATAAATCTGCCTAGTTGGTCTCCTTGACAACATCCTGTTCTGCTGCCCACATCTGGAAGTTAGGCTTCCCCGAGGCTCAACCTCACTTTCCAGGGTGATCTCACCCACTCCCATATCTCAGTTACCATTTATATATGGTAGCTCTCAACTGGCCATTCTAGCTGATATCTCTCCAGCGGATTGCTTAGCCACCTCCCAACTGATCTGTTTCTAGCATTGCCCTGTGTGCACTGACTTCCTTCAGTGTCATCAGAGTATTTTTGTTTTTAAATTATTATTTTTCTTTTTTGGTATCATGGATTGAACCCAGGGACATTTAACCACTGAGTCACATCCCCAGCCCTTTTTTCTTCTATTTAGAGACATAATCTCACTGAATTGCTTACAGCCTCACTGCTAAGGCTGGCTTTGAACTTGAAACCTCCTGCCTCAGTCTTCAGAGCCACCACACTGGCTGTTTTTAAATTCTAATAGTACATATTTTAGAAAAATTGGAAAATATAAACAAGCATTAACATTAAACACAAGGGTGAGGAGAATCAAAGATACTATAAATAAACCATCAGCCAAATCCAAAATGTGAGACATTGCAAAGGACCAATAGTTGGGTTTCTTCAGCAAATGGTATAGGGGCAAAGGGAGGGAAGACTGTTATCCATTAAAGGAAATTAAAGAGACACAATCAAGCACAACATACAGTATAAATTATATAAGCAGTAAAAATATTTGAAACTACTGGGAAATTTCAAATATGGACAGGGTGTTAGACATTAAGAAATTATTAATTTAGATATTGAGGAATAATTTTCATAGTTGTAATAATGTCATCATGACCGTGTAAAAAACATCATATCTTAAAAATGCATACTAGGTATATAAATAAGATTTTAAAAAATGTTAGTAATTATTGCAACTGGATGTTTATTATTCCTTTGAATATTCTTAATACATTTGAAAATTCTCATCATTAAAAAAAAATGAAACGGCGAGTCAACTAAAAAGGGAAAAAATTGAAATAAGGGGGAAAAAAAATCCTACCATCCTGGGAATTCTTGTTTACAGAACCAAAGGGCTATCTGGTAAAAGTCCTTGACTCCAGCAATCAATCCTGGCAGCAAATCTCGGTTTATCTCATGCACACGTCCTCTGTTTCTCTGCAACTCATATGAAACACTCAGATGGCTTCTCAGGGACAGGAAACTGAGATTTGGCCTTTTCTGTTAAAAGCACTGAGACTTCAGCAGCACTGCCCTGCAATAAAACAGTTCCAGAGTCACCAGCTGCTGCCATCAAACCACAGCTTAATGAGCTAATGCTCAAGTTACCTGCATTCCAGCACATCAGTGAGAAAGTAGCTAACTGCAAATTCAGATCCATGGGAGCCCCCTGGTAGACTCAACTGCTCGCAGGGACCATTTTACCTTAGTTAC